TGTCTGTGTCTCTGTCTGTGTCTCTGTGTGTGTCATGTCTGTGTCTGTGTCTGTGTCTGTGTCTGTGTCCGTGTCTCTGTCTTTGTCTCTGTCTGTCTTTCTGTCATGCCGTCAATGTCATTGTCTGTCCGTCTTTCTGTCTGTCGGTCTGCCTCTGTCTCTCTCTCTCTCTGTCTCTCTGTCTGTCTGTCTGTCTGTCTGTCTGTCTGTCCGTCTGTCTGTCATTGTCTGTCTGTCTGTCTGTCTGTCTGTCTGTCTGTCTGTCTGTCTGTCTGTCTGTCTGTCTGTCTGTCTGTCTGTCTGTCTGTCTGTCTCTGTGTGTGTGTGTGTTCGACACCACTTAGGTTCGTGGTCCAGGTGCCGAAAAGCCGGAGGTTTGCACTCTAGCCTGATTCGTGAACTCTCTGTATTTAGCATACGGCTGATCCACATCCAGGGTAGCAGACTAAGGTCCCCTCTAGCTCAGTTGGGCCAGTGCCGACTGCCGCGGACCCGAACGCAGCGGCCTTGTGTGCAGAGATCATGCACCGCGTGAATGATGTGACACTCCTTTGTCGTGCTCTCTTTTTCCACCCATGATGCGCCATGTTTCTGGCATCGGTCACGCCAGAACGGCGCCGATCGCTCAGTGATGCCACAAAAGCTGTGCGATTTTCTTCCTTGCTCAGGGCAAGTGACTCACGCAGCGGATGCAAAACGGTTTGCCTAGTCGTCCTTGCCTGCTACCAGCTAAACTCACAGCTCCTGCGTCCCATGTGTGCTGGTGCCACGCTTCTTCTCCTCAGACGCAATTGAACCACTTGAAGTGCCCAGGACAAAAACAATCACTATGCCTGGAGCATTTAAGATTTAAGCAGGTCAAGCTTGAGGTTGTATAACAAGGGGGTCTTGTAGATTAGTTTAGGATGCCCCTTGTGTGGTTTAGCTGTCAAACGATAAGAAGTACACAAATGAAACGATCAGGTTTGATTCTGCAGTACAGGAATACTATACCAAGGAATCCTATCAGTGTTACTGATGCTACGGCTGCTGCTACTGTGGGTGGTAGTATACGTGTTACTGGTAGTCCATGCTGGTAGTATAGCACGACTTGGCCTGAGCTGTGCTGTCAAGAGGTGGACCCTGTCAGAACCCGTAATGCATGCGTACATTCAGTTTGCAAAAATGGGGTCGGCAGCCCCCCAACCCCTGGGCTTTCTGTCTGTGCCGGGCATGGCTTGCTGTCAAGAACATCGCGCCGTCCGAAAGAATTGCGTCAGTCACATAAAGGTAGAAGTTTTCAATTTTCCAAATCCATCACACAGGCGAGTGTTGAATTCGCATGAGCAGAGAAACATGCACATGTACAGTGCGGCAGAAGTTGCCACTTCAGATGACCTGGAGCTTCTGAATTAGGTAGAGTTGGCTTTCAAGAAAGGCAAACAACAAATGCCGAACAAAAAAGCAACAAACACTTAAATTAATTCTGGAACCCATTCAATGTTGTTTGTGTGGATCAGCAGAGCAAGAAGAGATGCTTGAAACTGCCAGGTACTGGTAATGACACCACGTTTCCTGAAGTCTTCAAGCCCCAAACCCCGGTAACTTTGAATCCTGGACCCTACAGCCGAAACCCCAATTTCAAAACCTTACCGTATTGAAGTTTCTGAGCTGCACGAACTGAGGAGTGGGTGTCAAGATATAGTGCTGGCTCCTCGGAGCTCAGCGATGCGCAGGCAGACAAATTCGGGTTGCAAAAGTTCCTTCGCTGCGGTTTAGGGTTAGGGTCCTTTGGGTTCATGGTTCCCGAGAAGGGTGGGGAACAGGAAACCAACGGAGGATGTAGGCACCAAGGGGTCCCCGTTTGGGACCACGGGATATTTTCGTTCTCGAAGGTTCTTGTGGTGTTGTGTTGTATCGTCTTTTGTTTCGACTCCTGGTCTGACACAACTATTTGTAAAATTGTATACAGTATATGTAGCTTATTTTGTTTGTTGATAATTTCTTATCGTCATTATGATTCTTATTGTTCTTATTATTCTTATTCGTGTTGTATATATGGTGTCTAAGAGAAGCTTGGGAGGATTTTGCCGCGAGACGAGGTGTTTGAACCAAATGCTTTGTACAGCAACGCCTTGCAGATCCAGCATCTGCCTTATATGCCACCGAGTAATGATAAGACACAAGTTTTTGAGACTTATACATCTGTCTTATAAGGGGGTCCCCCTAACATGATCTATCTTCGCGATCAGCGCCTTCGGTGTTAAGCGCAACCAAGGGAACGCTTCAAGAACTGTCCTGATGGTCTCCCGCCTGGTTGGGGCGAAGGCGAAATTACCATTTCCGATGGCTCTAAGTTTGCAAGGAAGGCACCCATCCACGAGAGGACAAAGCTGCCTCTGGGGCAAGGCTGCCGCTGGGAGCGCAGCGTGCTCGATAAGTTGGACTTTCCAGTCTTTGCCTTCTTCATGCCGTGAGAGTCGCTTCTGAATTTCTTCAAGATTGACTGTTTTCAATTCACGGCCCATGATGGCTCTTTCAAGCAAGAATTCCCGCGTTGCCCAAGTAGGGCCTGCCCTGAAGGGGCCCCCGGCCTGTGAGTTCCATGAGTCAGCGCTCGGAAAAGCGGGATGTTGAGATTTTAGAGGATTGTGGGTGTCTTTAGGGGATGAAACAGAAGGGAGATCACATGGGAACTGTGATCCTGTGCCTATGTTGGATTCGGGTTCCAGGGCTTGTGAATGTCCTCAGACTGGTACCGTGAGTTTGTTGACACTTCCAAGCTTTATTTATACGCATGTCGGCCCGGAGATACAGTACTGTCGCCACATCCACAGCGGCGAAAAGCGGAAAGGATCCCCGGTGTTGTCCTTGTGTAATCCCTTTAGCCTAATCTCTTCCCCCTAATGTTAAACGGAGGGGGCCCCCCCTCGACAAAAACTCGGAAAGCAATTTTATTATTAGAGGATATGTTTATCTCTACTGCCGCTGTTGAGGGGTCGTGCTCTCGCTCCTGCTCTTGCTCTTCCTCCTGCTCTTGTTTTTGCTTTGCTCTGACTGCTGCTCTTGCTGATGCTCCCGCTTTTGCTCCTGCTCTTGATCTTCCTCCCGCTTTTGTTTTTGCTCTTCCTCCCGCTTTTGTTTTTGCTTTGCTCTTGCTGCTGCTCTTGCTGATGCTCCCGCTCCAACTCTTGTTCTTGCTCTGGCTTTAGCTCTTGCCCATGCGGTGCTCTAAGGTTATTTGGAGCCTCGAAACTTACCCCCGTAATTCAGAACAGGTTGTAAAGGGCAGGGATGATTTCGGGAGGATTCGCCCCACTGTGTTTTTATCTTTAGGGGGGGTGTTTAATAAAACGGGGAAGGGATTATATTCCTTTCGGGCTGCTGCTGGTCTCGGCCCCGCTGGCACCGGTGGTATCTTGAAACATGCACACCTGCCGCTGCTGGACTTCTCGTAGCTACCCTTTGCAGGCAGCTCACACATGAAACCTCCTTTACTTTCATCTTCATGCTCTCGTCGGAGCTTGCGTGACGCAACGCAGGTCGGAATGAGCTATGGTGGTGGCTTTGTTTCAGTCTGGATCCCGGCTCCTCCGCCTTGGCAACAAGGAAGATAGGGATGCTGCTATTGGCAAGTCATTCTGTCCTGAAGGTGATCAGCTTCCTGAATGTGTCTACAAGTACGGTAATCTACGTGGTACTAAGGTCTTTGGCTATGGCTTCTTGAACTCCACTGGTCTCAACTGCTCCTTCGAATGGATTGGCCCGGGGCCAACACTGAGATCTAGTTTTCGATTCAGGGCGTGGCGGCATCAGATGTCTGAGGCTCTCCTTCCGTGGTCTTCGTTTCTTCCACGCAGATCATGTGCGAGGCAGGGCTGTCGGATGGAATTTTGTTGGAGCTGCGCACTGTTGCTGTGTACTGGCGTAGCGGCGTAGCGTCACACAGGCATATTTCTTGAAAATGCGAAGCCATGCCATGCCATGTTTGTGTGCCATGCTTTTCAGGTCCTGCGACGCTGCGTTGTGCATGTTTCGAGAGTCCCTGTAGTGCAAACCTTTAGCCACAACCATAGGCCCCAAACCTCTCACATGCCCATGGCAGGTTCCGAACATGCTGGCAGCAAGGTCCAGCAAGGCTGACTTCTCCAATGGCTTGGCTTCGGGGCTGGGATTTATGATTTTGGATTCCTTTGCCGAGTTGGATATTCGGTGAGCCTCATGTCGTGGAGTAGTCTATCTTGCGATACGGTCAGAACAACTTCAGGGGAGTCGATGGATGTGAAGCATACTTGCACTCAGTACTCGTGGCTGCAGCACACCTCTTCCTCCTGTCAGGCACTGGGGTATGCAACACTACGCGTGACCTTGAACAACCGTGATTGGCTGGAACCTTACAGCGGGCATTTCGCACATGTCATGCTTACCTCGTGCCAGGGAGGTTGGTGTAATCGCTGCAGTAGCAGTAGCAGTAGCAGTAGCAGTAGCAGTAGCAGTAGTAGTAGTAGTAGTAGTAGTAGTAGTAGTGGTAGTAGTAGTAGTCGTGGTGGTAGTAGTAGTAGTAGTAGGAGTTGGAGTTGGAGTAGGAGTAGTAGTGGCAGTAGGAGTAGGACCAGGAGGAGTAGCAGGAGCAGTAGTAGCAGTAGCAGTAGTAGTAGTAGTAGTAGTAGTAGTAGTACTGCGCCGGTCCGAAAGTTCGTCGCACTCTATGTTGTTCATTTACAACGAACCTATCCAGACCCCCTTTCCCCCCTAGACTCCTCCACAAGTCCTCCGCCCTGAACAATTATAATAGTATAATTTCAT